ATACGTGAGCACCGGAACGACACTTGGACTAAAAGACTAGAAAACATCAACACTGACCCAAACAAAGTTTGGCAAACAGCCAAAAGCCTGACCAGGAAAACAACACCAATCCCGCCACTCAAACTACCTGAAAACAATTACACCACGATACCAGCAGACAAAGCAGAAATTTTGGCCACAAACTTCGAAAACATACACAAACAAAACGCCGACATTAGACGCAGACTTAAGACGAGACGTACGCAATTCTATTCAAAATTTCACTGAACAATTTAACGACAAAGACTTACGAATAGACCCTGCCACAGTTTCAGAAATAAAATCGACAATCAAAAAACTACCGAACAAGAAAGCACTCGGACCGGACGGACTACAAAATATAATACTGAAACAACTACCAACGAACGCATACATACTGATTACACGACTGGTTAACCATATAATGGCCAAAGGCCACTTTCATGCTTCATGGAAAACATCAACCATATTTCCTATCCTGAAGCCGAGGAAACAGTCAGACTCTCCGCAAAATTACAGACCAATCAGCCTCCTCAATACAGCAAAGTTACCGAAAAGATACTGCTCAAACGAATCAACAGACACATCAGACGAAACAAGATTATACCAGACACACAGTACGGCTTCAAGGAAAAGCACTCTACGTTACATCCACTCACACAGCTAATAGAAAACACTGTACTCAACTTCAATAGACGAAACCATACCGAAACCATAATACAAAAATTGGATAGGCTTACGGGATGATGAATCTACTGAGACCTCTTTTGAAACACAACAGCCCGCTAAGCGTGAAGAACAAGCGGACACTTTACTTGACACTCATAAGACCGACATACGCCGCTCCGGTATGGAACGCGACAACCAAGACCAACAGACGGAGACTACAAGTAGCACAGAACAAAGCACTGCGACTGGTACTAGACAAATCAAGGAACCCACTGACGAGACACTACTACCCAACGAAATATTTACATGAACAGACGGACATACCGACTATACTAGAACACATAAAAAAGCTCACTGAAAATTTTTACCGAAAGTGTAGGAATCACGATAACAGTACCATCCGCGCGTTAGGCCAATACACACCAGAAATAATATGATACGGGAATTATGCCATGCCAAATTACCTGATCGAGCCCCAGTAAATATATGAGCAATGAACCACTGAATGAATTTTTTTTCAGGAGAATAAAATTTTTCTCCTTTTTTTATCCTTGTAAAATAATAATAATAAAATATTGTATAAATACAATGTAATGTAAAACTATACATCTTTGGGTAGAATACCTCAAGGTAGAAAAACCCACATTTAATTCAATGTATGTACCAATATAATGAATAAATTTTTATTTCTGTCTGTCTGTCTGTCAAATACTCACATAGACAGTTTTAGTGAAGTTTCAATAGATTTTAGTGAAATAAGTATTAAGTCCGGAATTGATTCTAAATCTTGCCTTTTTAAAGGCACCGGGCTTAATACTTACAAGTTGGATATATATTATTATATCTGTCAAAATTTTAAAGGTGAACGAGCCTTTTGCATACTTCTCTCCCCAAACGCCGGATTGGGGTTGCTAATGGGGAGGAAGTAAGCACCCATTAGCAAGTGTTTTTTCTTTTTCAAAATTGTAAAGTCTTTTTATATCATTTTTAATAAATTTTAAAATCAGTGCGCAAAATCCTTCAGGAAGCAGAATAATTCCCGGGCAGGGACCTTGGAAAAAGTTCAAGATGTCGAACAGAAATCAAAAGATGGACGTGCAGACAAGTACTGCACTAAAAAATAAATATGATGCGCTCACGGACCGTACAGATATGGATACAGATAGGGAGAGTGAGGATAACAGGAAGGTAACACGCCGAAAGAGGGCGAAAAAGAACAAGGGACCTGAGAAAACCACTACTAGGTCGAAACCATCTACCTCAGGCGTCCAAGAACACCACCACTAAAGAGGCAAAAATCCCACCGATTATCATAAAAGGTCAAATAGATTTAAAAACAATTAAATATCTAAGAGAAACATCTAAAATTAATTTTAAATATCAATACCTCCATAATAATCTACACAAAATTTTCACTGACACCGCTAAAGAACACGAGAAAATCAAAAATCGAAATGCCAAGGGTCAGCAAATATCAATTTTATACCTACACAATCAAAGAGGAAATACCGAAGAAAATAACCATAACCGGTCTATATCCATCAATTACAGAGATTTTCTTGAAGATCTCCTGTCGAAAGGGATTAAAGCCAGGCAAGTAGAGCAGATAAAGAGGAAAACCTCAGATAGTAGTCAACACAAATTACCTATATACATTGTTCTCCTCGATAAAGACCAGAATATGTCGGAGCTAAGGTCGATTGGTGGACACATCTTCTCCTGGGTCTCGTCAGCTGTAAACTCTACCAACAGTGGACCCAACGTCAGAAACTCCCTATCCCATCGTCACCATACAGATCAATGGTCCAGTCTTCACAAACAATGGTCCAGCCTGCACCATCATCATCACAGATCCGGCCTGCACTATTATTAATTAGAGATATTAGGCTATGAAATTATAATTATTAAGAAAGAGCAACACGAAATGTTGCTCTATGTGAGAGCACAAAAGCAAAATTATTCATCAACTTCTCATAATCCCATTGCCATTTCTTTTGAACTGCCCATTACAGATGCCTACAGATGTACAAGAAATGGAGATGAAATTAAGAAATAATGATGTTACTTTGGAATTGGTAATAAGTTCGAATATTGTTAGTAGCATGCATTTGCATATATTAAATGTATGAGCATATATATAATTTGTACTAGATCGGCCAATTATCTTTACTTGGTGGGAATAACATGAAAAGAGCAGTTTTTCAATAGACATCAAAATCGAATTTAATAGTTAGCACCTGTGCTCAATGTTGTTGACATTGTGTAACATAATTTATTGATGTTTCAGAGGATTATGCCCAAGGATCACGTCGTTTAAAAAGATCATTTAAAACAAATGATATACAGACCACTGAAAATGAATCAAACACTGATAAAGATAGTGAGCCTGTTTTATTAAATTCTAAAAATGTCTCTTGCTTATTATCGCAAAAACGGCCTTTGAACAACAACAATAATAGAGACTATAATGCAAACGATGATTTAAATAACTCAGAACTTTCTGAAGGTGAAGAAATTACCCCCGCGGAGAATTCAGATATTGAAATTAGTGCAAAAGCTGCATTTGATAGTACAACGGCACAACCCAAAGGTTGTTTTTATTTTTTACAGTATTACATATTCTTATTTTTTACAGTAGACATCATATGATTCAATGGAATGGTTTCAGTAGATATCAATGGAAAAATAATTCAAGCTTCTGAAATTACGTGTGATTAGTATTAATTGTTGTGATAAAAACATTATAATATACTAAAAGTAAAATTACATTCACTCACACAGATTGTCTGAAAGTATTATTGATATTCAATTAGGTATTTGAATTTTTTTTTAATGGAAAGATCATATATAAGTTTTATAACAAAGTTTTATTTTTCTCGCAATAATTAAAAAGTTATACCAAATTAAAATTTGAGCGCCGACAAGTCCCGAACGAAGCAAAGCGCGTGTGACGTCATTCTGTTACGGGTGATTCATTGTAGGATACAGCTTTGAACATGTGCTATGCTTTGAACTTTTATTAATATCGTTCGGTCAATGTTAAATATTCAAAAATATATAAAAAATCTCAAATGTAAAATGTTATCGCTGTTGTTTTATACCATTATGTACAAATACAACAGAGACAACTCCTGAAAAAATGTTTTTGCATGTTCCTGATGACGAGAAACGTCAAAGAAAGTGGTTTCAAGCAGTGCACCGAGATTATCCTGAAACAAAATCGAATTTTTCTTGTTGTGAAGATCACTTTGATATAAGTATTTCAATTTTCTACTAATCATTTAAAGTTATCTGATAACTAGAGATAACTTTGATATATTTATAATTTTCTGACGTTTTTGGTTAAGTATTGAACTATATAAGATTGAAGATTAAGATGGTTTTGTTTCCTAATTATAAAAACATTTATATAATTCTTATTATACGTTCCTTTTGCAGCTAAAGGATGATATGAAAAATTATATATATTACACGACAAAGGTAGGTAAAGCTAAGATTAAAATTGATGTGGTACCACACAAGTTTGAATGTCAGCCTAATCGTAAACGACGAGGGACTTCTAGACCAGCTTCAGAAAAAAGACGAAGACAACAATTAATTCAAGAAATTTTTAGTGAATCTTCGGGTAATATGAAAATTGTTAATCCTCAGAAACCAAATATTGATGCCATAACAGGCAACAGTGTTGATGTTGAAAGTGATAATGCTCCTTCAAATATAATAATTAAAGTCAGTGTTGGTACACAAACACCAATCGATTTTAATAGTCGTGCTGTTGCTATTCAAGTAAATCCTAAATATTGTAGCAAGTCAGTCCATTGTGAACCTTAATCAGCCGGAGTAGATCAGTCCTGCTCACCAATTAAAACTGGTAGCATGAGTACTGCAACATCTCCAATAATACCAATAATCGAAGATAATCAGAAAAAATTGTCAGATAATAGTTTCACCACAAATTCAAACAGTTCTCGAGAGATTTATGAGCCTTCAGAGAATAGCGACTCGAGTTATATAGATTGTAGCTCACAGTCTCCTATAAAAAAGGTGAAATTGTAGAAGTCACAAATTATTTAATTAATGACAATTTGAGGGCCTATACTGGAGTCCCTCAAAAATTTAATGTAATGTTAGAACGTCTCAGTGTTATTTCTAATACCAATATGACTAATATAAAATTATCTTTAATGAAAATTCGACGCCAAGACAGTTTTGAAAGATTAAGCGAACAGTTCGGAATGAGTGTAAGCAACGTTAGCATTATTTTAAATAAAACAATTCCGGTATTGACACATTTTTTTAAAAAGCTTGTTTACATGCATGAGCTTGATAATATAAAAAGAATATTACCGATAACATTTAGATGTTCTTATAGTCATGTGGTAGCTATTATTGATGCATTTGAGATTCAAATCAAGAAACCTAGTGATCCAGAGCATCAATCATTAACTTGGTCAGAGTACAAAAAGTGTAATACTTTAAAATATTTAATATCTTGCACACCGGATGGCTTTATCAATTTCATCTCAAACGGATTTGGAGGTCGAACTTCAGATGAATTGTTATTTCAGGAAAGCGAAATAGTAGAAGAGTTACCCGAAGGTTGTGCTGTAATGGCTTGTCGAGGATTCAAGAATATTGTTCAGCTTCTTGACAATAAAAAGATTGAATTAATTCGAACACCTTCAGTGAGTACTGGAGTTAAATTATCACAATCCGATGTTTTACAAGGCAAACGAATCGCTGCTCTACGTATTCATATAGAACGCGTGATTGGACGAATGAGAGAGTTTGATTTTCTCAAACCTCATGTGGTTGTTAATCATAATATGTTACCTTTAACAGACTATATTGTTATCATCGCAGCAGCACTAGTGAATTTACAAACACCTATAATTTCAAGTTAAATTTAAGAATATTTTCATGACAAAAGAAATGGCTAAATAGCTACCATAACTATATCAATATTAGGAACATTTTGCTTTTATATATCCTGTATCATACATAGTTAAACTAAATTAACTTCAACTAATCGTTTTTAAAGGAAAATTTACCACGTGTTTATCAAGTTCCGTAAAATATAGCCGTAAGCACTGCGCCAATAGAGTAACGGCACGGTAGTCAATGTTAGGAGGTTGCAATTACAATCTGAAGTCACAGCCACGGTAGCCAATCGTGGCGCGTTAACGGTCACATGACTAATTTTTGAATTTAATCAATTTTTAAACGCTCATAACTAATTGAAAAAACTTTTTTTTTCTTTTTTCTTTCACATATCAATAAATTTAATAATGTGGTTTTAAAGCGTATAAAAATAAATGTATAATTTTTTTTTCAAATTCCCAATTGTGAGAAATAACATAATCACGATTAGTTATTGTACAATTTCTAGATATCCAGAGCTATGACCAATTGGCGCTATTTTTACAAAGCACAATTCGTCTCGATATGACAAATTTTAAAAAAAGCCTGAATTATACCTTGCTGTATATAATTTAACAGCAGCTATCATCACCGCAACGGCAGTAATATGAAATATGTGCTATGCGTATTTTTTTGATAAATATGGAGCAACTGAAAAACACCATTCTTGTTTTGCACATACTATTAATTTAATTGCAGATAAAGCACTTGCTGATCCTGATGTTATAAATTTTGTTAAAAAAGTAAGAAACTTAGTCAAATGTTTTAGAACAAGTGTTGTAGCTTCAGACAAGCTGAAAAAGGCTTAATGTGAAAGTTCGCATGAGCCTTTAAAGTTCATATTAGATGTAAAAATAAGGTAGAATTCGTGTTACTACATGCTAGAAAGATTTTTAAAATTATCTTCATATGTCGCACAAATTACAATCAGTGATGCAAATGCTCTCGGTATTGTATCAAAGGCTGAAGTTAAATTAATTAGAGAATTCTCTAATCTAATCTATTGCAGCCGCTGGAGTACATAAATAAATAATTGTGCACTAATACATCTAATATCTAAATATCTCAATACTATGTTACGGTGTCGAACGTTATATCTTTACTAGATCCACGCTTTCAAAACTTGCATTTGAAGTACACCAATGCTGACTTAAATGCAATAAATGCATTGAAAATCAAATTTGTTTGAATAGTTCTACTACAAGTTTAGATATTGATATCACGCCAGACAGTTTTGACTTTTGGCAGTTATATAAAAAAATAGCGCCAGACAAAACAAGAGTGATGAAATAGATTTATACTTAAACTAGTACAGACGCTGTTCTGTGCCCATGCCTAAAAACTCAAATTTTTTTAATAACCTATACTGATATTTACCTTTTAGTTAAATATAATCATTGTTTTTACACTACAATCTATACCGAAATGTAAGTACAATAGTGTGAGTACAAAAATGACCAGTCTCAATTTCTACACTTAAATTTCAATTATACAGTTAAAACATCAGCTACATCACAACATATGACATATATCAAACAGACAAGTAACATTGTAGGCGTACCTTGCTCTCCGTCGTCTTTCGAACTATTCAGATTGGGGAAACTTAATCCGCTAAGGACTAAGCCAAAGCCGTGTCTAGAAAAATTTTGCTTAACTGCAGAAAAAGACTAGGCCAGTTTCAATAATCTCAATATCACAGGGACTGAAAATAAGGCTTCTTGAGCGAAAAAAAAAGTTGTGAAAAAAAAATCTTAAAATTAAATATGTAAATAGCGTACCACAGATTATAGCTTTAAACTAACTTTGCGTACAGATAGTGATGTCATTACATGTTATTATCAGAATGTTCGCGAACTCAATACTAAAACCTCTGATTGCCTGCTTCCAGGAATGAATTTATTTATAATGGAAATGCTCAATTCATATTTTGCTTGGTTTATACAGGATTCTATAAATATCTAGAGGAGAAATGTCTTCCTGATAAACATAGATTACGTAAGAGTAATAATAAAATTTATATATGTGTTTGATGGTTCGATTTAAAAAAAAATATTATTTTAGAACTTGGTATGTCGATTCGCAGAAGTAATCTGAAGGCAGGGGCATACCGATTGTCTAAGGATAGTAATCTCATTTCAGGTAGATAAATACAAGTTGTTTAATAATTAATTTATTATTAATTTTAAATGATGTAATTGTGTATTTAAATCAGGTACTCTATCTATTTTCTAATAATTTATATATCTTTTATGCTTGTTTTTTAGCTTCTTCATATCTCTATGCCAATTACAGAATGATTCTCATATCACTGGAGAATGTTCTAATCGAGAACCACGAAAACAATCTGCAACTCCAAAGACAAGACCAAGTAATTATAACTTTAAACACTTTAATAATTAATACTTTTTGCAGAAAAATACTGATAAGTAAATCTTATTTTTGATGACATAAGAAACTTTGTGGCAGAATTTTGTGAGGGCGATAATGGTGATATCTTGATTGTACGAAAGCAAAGTACTTACCCATCAATAATGAAGAAGGTTCATCGACTGACAACATTTGTTTGTATGAACTGTATCATTGGGTGAAACAAATAACAATACAAGAGGATGAAGCTAATAAATTATTAAAAATAATGAACAAATATTTTGATGAGAACTTACCGGAAGATGTCCAGATTTTGGTACATATAATAGAAAATTGTGAGCCTGACATTGTGACAGGTCAAGATATTCATAATGGTACTCAAGCTACTAAATCTGCATAAGGATAGTTTTAGGAAGATCAAGAAATCCAGTCGATCTACACTATATACTACATGAGGCAATACAAGTTCCGGAAATTATGGAATTAGTAAATAAAATCTCAAAATTATTTTTTTCAAAATAACACAACAATTAATCTGTGACAAAAGATATGTTCTGGTATTCTAACTATGTTCTACCTAGTTTTATAAAAGATCTTTAGTTAAAATAAATATTTCAGTTTTAGTTTTTCAAAAGTTTTCCACAACATTTATGTTTTTGTTAGTGTTGTATTGTCCTTAAATATATTGTTTGTGGTTTTTGTGATATTTTTGCCACATAATGAATATTATTTAGATTAAAGTAATAGTTAAGGGAATAGTTTAAATAATTGTTTTGTTATCTTCAAATGAAGATAGATATTCATGTTGTAAATTTATAGATTGTATATATTTTTTTCATATTAAATGTAATAAAAAATCTTTAAAAAAAAAACTAACTACCTCTGCCATTGAGGATAAGGTGCAATCGTTAGTGATTTTAGATGAAGACGAGCGAAACCAAGTCATTACATTTCCGTTAAAGAATATGAAACAAATAGATGAATTGGAAGAAAATTTAAAAGAGGAAAACTTCGCATCAGGCTTGATACATGAGCTGGCCCCTAAAAACCAATATATTGAAAGAGCCACAATTCGCGCCCTAATGCAAAAAAATAATAACAAAAGACCAGGCAAATAAATTTTCTGCAAAAGGTAATAAAGAAAAACTGAATTTTTCGGCCCTACGGCTATGCGATGTTGTAATCCAAGCTATTCAAAGAAACGTCGAAATATTAACAAAGGACAATATTATAATGCATTTAGGTATCTTTTCAGTTAGAAAGATGGAGGCCAAAAAACCTCAGAAAAAGTCCACGGCTCCTCGGACCCAAAGTTCCTGTCGACGCAGTATCAGTATCCGCTCAGACTTCTTTAAAAAGTTTAACTAGGGAAGCATGGCATTTTTTGTAGTCTAAGTTTCGGATATGGAGTGGAAGTTTCATAAACTGAGTACCTAAACCGTTGATCGTATTGAAAGAGCAGGCTAGTTTATATGTGCGCGCCTTAATTGGTTTGTGTCTAGTGTTGTAGTTGGTGGCTGTTGTATTACTATTCATAGTGACAATTAAAGATTTTTAGTAAGAACTAAAAATGAGCTAAGTGACCCTATACCGTTTCTTCGAACAGGATATGGTCAAACGGAACATAACCTAATTGAATTAAGCTCACTATTTGAAGTAAGATGGCAATTCATTCCATCGTAATCCGCACATTTTTGGTAGTTTATGAGAGGGATCCATCAAGTGCCAGAAGTAATATTCGAAGAGTAATAGAATCGTACTATTTGACATACGAAGAATACCTTACGGTTCTCACTTAGATTGAGGCAGTTGTAAACTCTAGAACACTTTTGGCTACCACTTTATTAGTCCGAGCCATTTTTTGATCGGGAAACCACTGACACCACTTCCTGAGCCGTATAGATTACACCATATTGTTAATCACGAAAAAATATTTTAAAAAAATGACTTCCATAACAGATCCATTTTAAAACATTTGGTTTACTCAATACCTAAATATATAGCAGCGTAAAAATAAATGGGCAAACTCCCTACTATTAAGATTAATGATATTGTTTTGATTAAATAAAATAAAATTCGAGTTGTCCTACGTTGATGATATCTTATTAAAATGGCAAAGCCATCGACTCTTTATTCCCACTTGATGCAAAGATGATATTAGCTGTTGTGAAGAATTTCTAAATGATGAAACGTATGTCAGAGAATTGGTAAACTATAATTGCACCTTGAAAGAAATTGTACAATGATTTGGAGGTAATCGTGTTTTAATGTTTTGTTTTTAGCAAAGCTATGTTAAGAAAGTTGGTTGGAAAACTCCGGCAGAGAGCATTAGGAATATATTGAAAAAATATGAACTCCTGGTATGGCTGAAAAAATGAAAGGCTAGAAAATAAATTAAAATTATGGAAGTGAAAAAATGTAATTTGACTTAAATTCATTTTAATATATTTGAAATAATGTTCCTAATCCCTGTTTGATTCTATTTTGGACACAATAATTAATAGCATCCGGTAGCCGTAAATTGTTATGACGGTTATAGGTTTTTGAAATATATTAGATCTTCGCCAGGAAAAATAAGAGAAAAGAAGTATTGGCTCTCATTCGAAAGTTGGGCAAG